CCGCCCGCGCGAGAGTTCCTGGAGCGCGGGCCGCTGGCGTCCCTGCGGAAGGCGCTGCAGGAGTTTGACAAGAGAGCGGTGGGCTCCAGGGCTGAGGCGGAGCAGCTCGCGGCAGAGCTGGGTTTCGCGCTGCCGCCCGCCTGAGCGCCGCGGCGCGCGCCTGGAGGCCCGCGGGGTTGCCCCGACGGCTGGCCCCCGCGCCCCTGCGGCCTGCGAGGTTGTCCCAGCGGCCTGGCCCGGAGGGTTGCCGCGACGGCTTCGCGATCTAGCCGTCGGTAAACGCGCGCGTGCTGGCCGACGCGGCGACGGCGCCGAGGAAAATCGAGTTGCTTGCCGCGACCAGGGGGAACGGGAGGTGCACGTGGAGAAGAGGCAGGGGGGTGAGGAGGGAAAGGGCATGGGGGAGGGCGACGAGGAGGAGGAGGTGGCGCGAGAGGAGGAGGAGGAGGAGGAGGAGGAGCAGGAGGAGGAGGAGGAGAAGGAGGAAGAGAAATAGAAGGAGGAATATAGGGCAGTGCACAGGGCGAGAGGAGAGGGTGTCCGCCAGGGGGAGGAGGAAAGCGTAAAGGGTAAGCTAAACAGATTATCATGTGGGGTCCTACCGTCGGAGTAATTGGAGATGCTTCGCCCGCTCGCTGCCCGCCCATTCCAGTACTCGCCGGAAGACGCGAAGGCGGGGCCAAGGCGGGATGGCAAGATCCCGGACATGGCTCAATATCTCACATGTTTGTGTGTTTCGCTTGTGCTCTATTCCTCCTTCATCCCAATGCCGACTGAGTTCAGGCGTGCCATGTTGTGAACGGGTAATTCATTCGCCGCTTGGTCGCTGGCCCGTCATCATCACACACAGATCAGAATATGGACGCTGGCTCTCTTGACCTTTGCTCCTTATCCACATCAGGAAACGAGAGATAGCCAGAACATTGCCCAAGACCACCTGGAAACGGCCCGAACGCGGCCCAACAGGCGCCCACGAAGGCCGAAGAGGGCTCCGAGAAGAGCCGGCCCGCCAGACATGGACAGCTGGCTGTGCTGGCGGGCTCTGCGGGTGCTTGCGGCTGTGTCAGGTGCACATGCATGCCTCGGAGCGTGACCCGCCCCCTCTGAACGGCTCGCTCCCTCTGCCCCCCTGCTTTCGAGGCACCCCCGTTTAGGCCTTTCCGCTAGCGCAGACGAGCCCTGTTTTGCCGCCGACGCAAACAAGTGCCCATGCATGCTCGCGCCGTCGCGCGCGTTGTCAGGGCGCACGGAGGCCAATGGGACGTAGGTGTCGCTCTTGCCGCGCCGTTGCGTGCGAGCGTCGTCCTGTCTTTTCTTTGCGCGCCAGTCTTCTTTCTTCAGCAGTGCCCTCAGATGCGGCAGCTCGGTCGAACATCGATTCGTTGAGCATGCTGCTGTCCTGCGACGAAGGATCTCGCAAGTCTTCATATCTTCACATTCGTCAGCCCGTGGCCTCGCGCTATTTCAGTCCGTCGCCGCGCAGTGAACGATGTCTGGCCGCATGTGTTGTTAGGTGCTTGTCCAAGGCGATAGCGAAGAGCGTGCTCCGTCGGCGTAGAACGCGCAGCGCGGCGACCGCGTCGGCGCGGTCGTGACGAGGGCGTCCGACTCGCGTGTTCGGATCGAAAGGCGCCGCTGGTCTGGCGATGTTCGCAATCGTGGCGTCGTGCTGGGGCGCCCCGGGTCGTTTGGTGGGAACGCGAAAAAGGTGCAAACGAGGAGCATACCTGTCTGGCAAAGCTAGGTGCGAGACACATGAGGAAAAACAGGAGGAGGAAAAGGAAGAGGAGGAGGAACAGGAGGAGGAGGAGGAGGAGGAGGAGGAGGAGGAGAAGAACAATGACGAGGTTAAGCTGCTTGGGGGTTTTCTATTCCGTTTTTGTGGAGTCATACGGACGCAACGGCCTCGCGGCTTGATTTCGCGCGGGGTGCATGTGAACGGCACGCCGCGTCGGTGGGGAGGCCGCCCTGCTTGCTAAGCAGGCGAAGGAGGGGGGGCGAGGGAGGCATCACCGAGCGCGTTCTGCTACTCGCCAGGTGCTTATTCGCAAACGTCTGAAAAAAAACACGTCTGCGTCAATGTAACAAATCAGAAGTCCCTGGCGGTGGATCGAGGACGTTTGCGAGCAGTCATTTGGCGAGTCGTTGAGCGCGCTTGTGTAATGCAGGCAGTGGCGCCCTCCCTGGCAAATGGGCGCCTCGCGGCGGCGGTGGCGGCAGGGACGAGGGGCGGGAGCCTCGAGCTTGATGTGGGCGCCCCGCCCCCGCCCCCCTTCGTGAAAGAGAAAAAGGATCGGAAGGATAGCGCGGCGCGCCCTTCGCCGTCGCCGTCGGCGGGTTCATTCATCTCGCGCGCCCACGCAGCTTCGCCTCGCCCGCACGCACGACACGAACGAAACGAAACGATTTCCCGGTTGGGGGTCTCCGTTCCACTGCGATCTCACCCCCCAACCTCCGATATCTAAATAGATATACCTATACGACCACCCTTCGGGTGATAAGGAGGTTCGGGGGAAAAGGAACTAACGTCTCACTCGATCGGTCTCACTATCGATCTCACTATTGATCTCACCATCGGTCTCGCTCGATCGATCTCGCTCGATCGATCTCTCAATCGATCTCACTCGATCTACTTCATTCGATCGATCTCACAACCGATCTGACTATCGATCTCACCATCGATTTCACTATCGATCTCACTAACGATCTCACAATCGATCGCACATTCGGTCTCACTATCGATCTCATTATCGATATCACAATCGCACAATCGATATCACAATCAACGTCATCATCATCAACAACATCATCGTCATCAACGTCAACATCATCTTCATCATCATCGGGACACCATCATCATCATCGTCATCATCATCATCACCTCATCACCATCATCATCAACATCATCATCATCATCGTCGTCATCATCATCATCGGGGGCACCATCATCGCCACCATCAGTTCCATCAACATCATTATTATCGGGACACCATCATCATCATCACCATCATCTCATCATCACCATCATCATCATGAGCATCATCATCATCATCATCATCATCGGGGCGCAACCATTATCACCAGCATCATCATAATCATCATCATCATCAACATCATCATCATCATCATCATCATCGGGGCACCGTCATCGTCGTCACCATCAGCATCATCACCATCATCATCATCGGGACACCATCATCATCATCAACGTCATCATCACCATCATCGGGCCACCATCATCAAACTCATCGTCATCACCTCATTTTCATCATCATCAGCATCATCATCATCATAGGGGCACCATCATCGTTATCATCACCATCATCATCATCGGGGCACTATCATCGTCATCACCATTATCATCATCAACATCATCATCATCAACCTCATCATTATCATCATCATCGGGACACCTTCATCATCATCATCATCTTCATCATCATCTCATCTCATTATCATCAACATCATCATGATCATCACCATCATCATCATCATCGTCATCAACTTCGGGGCACCATCATCATCAGCAGCAACATCAGCATCATCAACATCATCATCATCATCATCATCATCATCATCACCATCACCATTATCATCGAGACACCGACGGGACACCGGCGGGACACCAGCAGGACACCGCGCGCCACCGGACGCCAGAAGGGAGACATTTGGTCCGGCCGCGCCTCAGCCACAGGAGACTTTCCTCTCGCCCGCCCACGCAGCTTCGCCTCGCCCGCACGCACGGCACGCACGAACACGAAACCGAACTCGATTTCCCAGCAGGGGGGCTCTCCGATCCACTTCGATCTCACCCTCTCACCTCCGATCCGCACAACTATCTAAAGACGTCTGGTTCTACATCAGATTACCATCCTCGTCCTTCTCCTCTCCCCCGTACCTTCGACGGGCATCCCCGCGCGCCGCCTCGGGCAGCCCAGGGCCCCGCGGGGAGGCAGACGACGTCGGCGAAGACGACGACGAGACCGAGGGAGACGACGAGGACGACGGCGGCGAGGGCGACGTCGGCCCACGCCGGGGACCTGGACCGCCCCAGCTGGAGGGCGCCCGACGCCCCGCGGGTGGGGGGCCCTTCGCATCGACGCGCTCGCGAGGCCGAGGCCCCCCAGCTCTTGGCCGCGTTCGGCCGCCGGCGGCCCCCTCCCCGCGCCCCGGGGCCGCAGAGCTCGGGATCTCCGAGTTCGGCCCCGCTGGGAGGGGGGGTCGAGATCTCGAGGGATCCGCGGCGTCAATCCTCGCCAGCTCAAAACAGACGCCCAGTCCTGAAAGCGCGAGGGCCAAAACGAGACGCGGGGTCCTCGAGACTTCGGGGATGGAGATTTCGGGGCAGGGCTTTACCAGGGAGCGCAGACCATACCCCGAAATCTTTGGCCGATGTTCGAGTCCTCGGTGAATCCGCGATTTTGGGATTGGGACTGTGTTTTTTCTTGGTCAAATCCCTGGAGATCTCGACCCAGGGGTTCGCGTCGTCGAACACGACGTCGGGGGTCTGTGGGGGAGCGGTCCCCGCGCGCCGCCTCGCGCAGGGATCGGGGGAGGCAAACGGGGTGGATAGCTCAGGAGAGGAAAAAACACAGACACAATTAATCGTCGATTTCCAGGAAAATAATTATGGGAAAATATGGGAAGTGGGGGGGAAGACAAAAATCCAGAAACTATAGGAAAATGGGCCCCTTCAATAGCCCTGGGGGGTGGGCATTGCATGTGCGGTGGGGGCGTTCGTTAAGGAATGTGCCCAGGAGGCTTCAGACTCTGGAGGATTCCTTAACTGCTGAGGGCGGCGGTGGTATCCATGGCCGATCCGCGATTGGAATTCCTCTGGCGTCCAGACTCTGCATTCCTTATCTCTGAGGCTTCCTTGTCCAATGCCCCCAGGAGCCTCGTCGTATACGCGGGCGGTCGGAGCCCCTGGATGCATGCAGCGCCGACGCCCGAGTGATCCCGCAACTGCTGCAGCTCGGGGAGGAGCGGCTTCGATTGGTCTTGGGTGCCTTTGGCAGTTTTTGGCGCTGGGGCGTTGTGGCGGCGGCATTGGACGAGGCGCGTCCTTCTGGGGCCCAGACCCTGGCGCATTCCTTCCTGTTTCAAGGCGAGGTGGGTGGCCGACGTGTGGCCGCCCAACGGTCGCTAGGCCCTCGGTGCCTTGTGGCAGGTGTCCTCATCTCGAGCCTCCACCGTAGGGGGGCGCTTTGTGCAGGCCCTCGGAGGCTTGTTGAAAGCATCGCGGGGGGCCTGAGCCGTTTTGCTCGGGCAGTTTTTGCGCTCACGTGCGCCCGATTGCGCCCTCCCCGATGACTACAGGCATCGTGAGACGTGTGTGTGACGGCGGCTTCGGCTTCATTAGCAGGGAAGGTGGCGCCGACTTGTTTTTTCACAACAGCGACGTGGTTGGGAAGAAAGCTTTGATCACGGATGATAGAGTCTCGTTCGTGTTGGGGATCCAAACCAAAGGAACAAAAAAGGGACAACCATGCGCCAAGCAAGTTCAGCTTCTTGGACAGAGTGGCCGAGAAGCTGACTGGTTCGACGCAGTCATGCGAGACGATGTGTCTCTCATTCATCGAATGGCGTCTGATGGCCAGGATGTGAATGCTCTCGACAGGGACATCAATATTTGCAACAGGTGTAACGGCAGCGGTCAAGGGCAAGGAGGCTATTCAGGGAAAGACATTCAGGTATCGAGACGCGTTTGGATATGTGGCGAATGCGAGGGCAATAAGCGCGTAGCTACTCTGCAGTCCGCAGTTGATAAGGCAATCGCTCACACCAAGCCGAATTCCCTTGGCGCTCTGATTTCTTTGAAGGCACACGTTAACCAGAAACACCTCGAACTTGCAGCCTTGAGCAACAGCACGGCGATCGTGAAGATGCTCATCGATGCTGGAGTCGATCCCAACATTCGCGTGGCCATGCACGAATATGACGAAGACGAATATTGCGACTACATTGAGTGCGTCCCCATAGAACATTCCAACAAGTTGAGCGCGGAGACCAAGCGACTTTTCATTGAGTGCAAGTCGCAGGTTGTAGCGTTGTCGCTGATCGTTCTGGCAAAGGAGCAGGGCTCGGTGGAGTTGAGCTTCACGTATGCGAGTGGACGTCTGGCCGTTCCCGCAAAGGAGTTCCTTCTTGATGAGCCGCCAAGCTGCATTTGGCAGCATGTTGCCGATTCTGCAGAGAAGCCGTCCCACGTTTGGATGATCAGAGCAGGGAATCTCCAGATGATTCTGCCAGACGGGCGCAGTGTCTCTCGCAGGAGCTCCGTGGAGATCCGCAGCCTGAAGGACCTCTTGTGGCCAGACGGGTGCGCCGCAGACTGAGCTGTGCCAGCACTGGCAGGAAGAGGAGGAGGAGGAGGAAATGTAGGAGGAGGAGGAGGAGGAGGAGGACGAGGAGGAGGAGGAGGAGGAGGAGGAGGAGGAGGACGAGGAGGACGAGGAGGACGAGGAGGACGAGGACGAGGAGGACGAGGAGGACGAGGAGGTCGAGGAGGACGAGGAGGAGGAGGAGGAGGAGGAGCAGGAGCAGAGCCTCTGCATGCGATGGGCACACCGGGGCCGCATGCCTCCACAAAGGCTGCCGTGGCCCTCGCGTCGCGTTCCGCACTCGACGGTCTGATTCGGCCCGGCAGCAGGCATCTCCGGTCCTGCCGTGCAGTTATGTCGTCGTTTTTATTATTTTCATGTTATGGTGCTCCAACCTACTTTAGTCGGGGGCGGAAAAGAGAGGGGTGATGACTAGGGGGGGGGGTGGGTATCATGGCGAGGGCCATGATATCTCCCCTGATTTCGCGGTGCCTCTTCTTATTTCATTACGTCCCTGCCCCCCCCCGCTGGCCCACGCACATGCCGCCGGTCATGATTTGCACCCCCCCCTCTTGGCCGCTCCCGATTTAGCCTTGAGCACCAGAAATAATTTCGAGCGCCCAAAAAAGTACCGAAACTTCAGGGTTTTTACGCGTCGGGCCCTGGGAGACTCTCGCCCGACACTGTTTCGACACTCCTTTGACACTTTTCCGGGTGCTCGAAATTATTTCGGGGATGTGGTGCTTAAGTAGGACGGGGACAACATAATATTCATTGTTTGGCCGATCGGCGCGGTCCCTCGCACCCCTCCCCTCCCCCCCCCTTGGAGTGGATCCTGGCTGTTTTTGGCGCCTGTGCCGAGCAGATGGAGTCTCTTCCCCATAGGACGCACTGTTGCAAACGGTCGCACTAAGCAGAGGTCCGGAGCCAGACCCCCCCTCCCCCCCCCCTTCCGCCCGATGTCGAAACGCCGAACAAAAAAACGTTCATTTTAATGCAGTGATGATGGCCTTAGGCTGGCGCGCATCTGCAAAGCAGACGTGCGCGGCCACGCCGCCGCTTCTGTTGCTCGGGGGCAGACCGCGTCCTCGGTGTGCTGGCCGGCCTGCTTTGCTCGCTTCTGTCGCCGCTCCTTCCCTCTGCGTGATGCTTACAGGCTGGCCATTGCCGTCGTGCGATAAGTCGATCTGTCGGAAGCCCAAGCAGCCTACAAAGAATGGCCCAGTAGGCCAGAGCAAACGAGGCTTCCTGGACAACTCCAGAGCCTTCCCCCTTTCTCCTCCTCGTCGTCCTCTTCTCGGTGTCACCCCAACATGCTAATGCTATGTGTGCGTCGCCTCCCCAGGGGCGACGTGCGCACCGAGGAATCTCATAGTGCATGCGTCGTGGCGGGCGCTTTCTAGCCGCACCGCTCGGGAAACGATCTATTACAAGATGGTTATACTATATGTTCGGGTCGGACGCGCGCCTCCAAGGCGGACATATAGTGTTTGCATGTCCCTGCGCGTCCCATCCTCCAACTCACGGTCGCAGTCACGAAGTCTGGCAGCAGTGCAGTTCATTTCCTTCTGAGCAGGACTCGCTGTCCGCGTTGCCGCGGGCGTTGTCCGTCTGAGACAACCGTCGCCTGCTAATAGTGGCCGCCGTCGGATCTTCTACAACATGTGCGGTTTGAACCGCGTTTTTTCCTGCTCCATGCCGGACATGCCAAAAGGAGCGGGTTCGAGGTGTTCGTTTTTTTTTTTTTTTAGGCGGGGGGATTTTCGGCAGACCTCTGGAAGCTTCAGAAGACCTCAGGGGGCTTCTGGAGGTCTCCGGAGATCTTTTCCTTCTCCCTCTCCCTCATCCTCCTACTCTTCACCCCTCCTCTTTGGGTGATGAGTCCGCTGCCTCTCCTGAGCTACAGGCGCTCCAGTAGAAGTTAGCATACGTAGGGGGAACACGGCGGCACAACACGACGTCCACACCCCCAACTCCTCCTCTCTTCCTCCTCCTACATCCTCCAGCTCCTGCGCACTGATGCCTGGGCGTGCATGCGCGGCGCTCTTTGTGTCCAGGCCTTCAGCCATCTCGGCAGCAGAACACTGCGGGCGTGCCTGACTCTGCTGAGGTCCACGAGGGGCCCTACGCCCTTCAGTCATGGAGGCTTGTCGGTCAGAGTGGGCTCCTCCATCACGACGCTTGACCGACTGAGCCCAGGCTCCGTTAGAGCTCTGCCCCCCAGGGGACTTTGCAAGAAGAAGCGGCCCGCGGCGGCAAAGGGCCCCCAGGATGTGACGTCCAGGCAGTTCGATCACCTTTGGGTTTTTTCGGGATAGAAAGCCAGAGCCCGATATGCTTTCAGTACCTTCCTTCTTTCTTCAGAAAAAAGGCGGCTTGTTAGCTTAATCGCTTATGTCTTGGGCTGACCGACGCCCAACATACTTGGAGCACTCTACCGCTCTGATGGCCATCTCAGAGGCCTTGATGCCATCATACTGCATCCCCCCGTGCATGCGCGAAGCATATGCGAAGGGGTCCGATGTTCCCTTGCCCATATGTCCGTCCTCAAGAGGCTCTGCCAACACCTCCTCCAAGAAACCTGAGTCTCTTCAGTGCAGTTGAAGTTGTGGCCATCGCGATCGCCCTAGGGGACCCCTGAAGAGGCCGCAGCGCCTACGGGAGAGGCCTCAGAGTCTCTGAATAGGACTCCTCCTCCTCCTCCTCCTGCTCCTCCTCTTCCTCCTCCTCCTCCTCCTCCTCCTCGTGCTCCTCCTCCTGCTCCTCCTCCTCCTCCGCCCTCCTCCTCCTCCTCCTCCTCCTCCTCCTCTTCCTCTTCTGGTTGACGGTGATGCTGCCAGAGGCGGCGCTGAGCGTGCGGACGGGGCAGGCAGAGGAAGGCGAGGGGATCGGCAGGAGAAGGGGTGGGGATCACGGCACGGGAGGAAGAGGAGGCGAGGGCGACGTGCTCGAAGAACGGGTGGCCCAGGCAGAACGCCTCGCAGCGCCACGTCGCCAGGAGATCGAAGCGGCTGCAGGCTCGGCGTCGGACCCTCTGGAGCCGGCGTCTCCCGCCGGCCTCGCTCGAGGCGGACCGCTGCTTGCTCTTGGGCGGTCGGCTTCGACGAGGTGCCCACCTCGGGCAGGCCTCGAACCGAGGCAGATCCGTTGCAGAGCCTTCCCGAGCGCTCTCAGAGCGTCCCGGAGCGCTCTCTGAAGCTGCCGTGTGGCGCCCGATGGGTCCTCCCGAGCCCGCCGAGTCTCGGAGACGTCGGGTCTGTATCGGTCCATTTCGGGTCCACTTCGGGTCCACATCGGTCCCATTTCGCCCCGATGCTGCCTTGGTCTTACAGTTGACCCGCATAGTGAGGATGGGCGGCCTGCCCAAGGGTACCCCTTGCATCTTTGCCTCCTCGGTCCATCCTTGGCCACTTTCATTGGCCGCGCCCCGCTCGAGAAGTTTCGAAATGGGCGTCCGAGGCCCTTCCATCCTTATCGCGCATCCTTGTGATGCGGGCCGACTGTGCCATTCCAGGGACGCGAAGCGACGAGGACGAGGACGATTCTGCCTTGGTCTGACCCTTCCAGCGCAGCGGAGCGAAGGCCACTGCGGGCGGCGATGGCGGCGGCGACCGACGGCGGCGGGCGGCGACGAGGATGTCGACGACGACGACGATCAGGAGGAAAAGAAACACACAGACACAATTAATCCTCGATTCCCCAGAAAATATGGGAAAATATGGGAGGGAAGACAGAGGCCCAGAAACTATAGGAAAATATGGGGGATATTTCTATTTGTGTGTCTTTATTTGTGTGTCCTGGGGCCCCTTCAGACGACGACGACGACGACGACGAGGACGAGGACGATTCTGCCTCGCTCTGACCACTCCAGCGAAGCGGAGCGACGGCCACTGCAGGCGGCGATGACGACGACGACGACGACGATGACGAGGACGACGACGAGGACGACGACGACGACGACGACGAGGAGGATGGCCACGCTGGCGACGGCGGCCGCCATGGAGAGCCGAGCCGTGGCCCCAAAACCCCTGAGGAGGCAGGAGGAGGAGGAGGAGGACGAGGAGGAGAAGGAGGAGGGGGAAGAGGCGGAGGAGGAGGAGGAGGAGGAGGAGGAGGAGGAGGAGGAGGAGGAGGATGGCCACGCTGGCGACGGCGGCGAGGGGCCGGCATGGCGCGGGGGCCGCAGGCCTTCCGGACCGTGCCCGTGATCGGGAGGGTGCACTGGGGCGTCAGCGCCTCGGCCGGTCGGGGGAGGGGGAGGAGGAGGAGGAGGAGGAGGAGGAGGGAGAGGAGGAGGAGGAGGGGGAGGAGGAGTAGGAGGAGGAGGAGGAGGAGGAGGAGGAGGAGGAGGAGGAGGAGGAGGGGGAGGAGGGGGAGGAGGAGGAGCAGGAGGAATGGGACAGAGGGGCTCCTTTCTCCTCGTACTCGTGATCCATGCTCTTGATTGATCTTCTCTCTCGCTCCGATGCGGCGTGGCTGGCGTGCACTGTGTGCCCTTGTGGGCCCGCTGTCCTTGCCTCTTGTGCCAATCTTGCTTTCTGCTACGCCCGCCAGGCGTCATTTGCTGGTCTCCAGGCCTGAGTCGACATTCACTTTTTTTCACACGGACGCTACAGCCACGACGCCCAAGTTCGCCCAACATTCAAAAGGAAGGAGGAGCAGCAGGAGTGCGGCAGAGAGTTTGACTTACTCTCGCCCTGTCGGGCCACGTTTCTTTTTTTCACTCTGTGCCTGATCTTCGCTGCACCCTTCCGCGGCATGATTTGCTCGCTGCTCCGCCTGAGACAGCGCCTTCTTTCTCTCACAGAACCCAACAAGCGCGTCTTCATGCTTTGCCCACGTCAAGACGCAGGAGTGGGACGGAGGGAGGCGGGGGAGGGGGCAAGGAGAGGGGCTAGGGACGGGGGGAGCAGCCGCACCGGGAGCAGGTCCTCGCCCTCCGCCCTCCGCCCCCTCTCCTCGCCCTGGTCCCGCTCGCGACCTCCTCGCCCGCCCTCCTCGTCGCTGCCGCCCTCCCGCTCCCCGCCCGTCGCCGCCGACGGTCGGCGACGACGGCCGAGGTGCAGCTCACCAGCGTGCGTCTGGAGGGCGGCGGCCCCACGATGCCCGTGGGGGGCGACCCCTGCAGCCCGTCGTGCGGCGCCATCATCGACTCGGGCAGCGCGCCCCGCTCGTCTCAGCTCCTCGCCGTGATGCTGATGATGCTGGTGATGGTGGTGGTGGTTGTGGTGGTGGTGATGGTGGTGACGGTGATTCTTTATATTCTAATAGGTGGTGATGATAACGGTGATAGTGCTGATGCTGATGACGGTGGCGATATTGTGGTTGTTGTTGATGGTGGTGATGATGACGATGATGATCGTCATCTTGGCGATGGTGATGATGAAGACGATTCTGCTGCTGATGATGCTGCCGATGTTAATTCCGATGATAACGGCTACGACGATGATGATGATAAGGCTGCTGAGGATCTGCTGATGATGGTGGTGGTGATGCTGGTGGTTGTTGTTGGTGGTGATGATGATGACGGCAATGTTGCTGATGCTGATGATGCTAGATTATGGTGATGCTATTGGTGACTATGCTACTGCTAACAATCAGGATGCTGATGCTGATTCGTATGATGATGGTAATGCTGATTATACCGATGGTGACGCTGATGACGATGACGCTGCTGCTGATGATGCTGATGCTGATGATGATGCTGATGCTGATGATGATGCTGATTCTGATGAGTGCGACGGCGACTGCGAGGATAGCGAAGAACGATTCTGATGATTCTGACGATGATGCTGATGCTGATGGTGGTGGTGGTGGCGATGCTGTTGATGATGCTGTTGTTGACTTTGGTGTTGTTGCTGCTGCTGCCGACCATGATGACCGTGCAGAGATGCTGATGCTGTTGCTGTCGATGTTTTTTTTTTTGGTTGCCGTTGTTGATATTGTTGATGATGACGATGATGCTGATTGTGATGGTGCTAGTGCTGATGATGCTGATTATGGTGACGATGATGCTGCTGATGATGATGAGGATGATGATGGCGATGATTGTGATGATGATGCTGATGCTGCTGCTGCTGCTGATGATGATGATGATGATGATTATGATTAGTGTGGCGGCGACGGCGAGGATAACGACACTGACGATGATGGTGCTGATGCTGATGCTGATGCTGGTTTTTCTGGTGGTGATGCTGTTGATGATGCTGTTGTTGACGTTGGTGTTGTTGCTGCTGCTGTTGCCGCCGACGATGCCGACCATGCAGAGATGCTGATGCTGCGGCTGTCGATGTGATTGTTCTTGTTGTTGTCGTTGTTGACGTGGCGATGCTGTTGATGATGTTGATGCTGATGCTGCCGATCAT